ACGCTTTCCACCACGGAAGCAGAGTATGTGGCAATTGCCGATGTCTTGAAGGAAGTGTTGTTCCTGAGGCAGGTGTGGCGTTTTATGTTGCCAGATGCAGGTATGCCGTGCATCCCGGTGTTCGAGGATAATCAGGGAGCGATTCAGATTGCGCACAACCCGATCACGAACTCCAACTCGAAACACATCGATGTACGACATCACTTTATCAGGGAGCTGGTAGAGAGGAAGGAGATTTCAATTACTCATGTGCCGACGCAATTTCAGCATGCAGATTTCTTGACGAAGGCCATTAGCAAGGAGTCTTTTGCGTTGCACCGTGACTTTGTGATGAACTTGCAGTGAAGGAAGTGTTTTGGGGTCGATTCGTATTCTGTGATGGAGAGAGTGAGAGAGACGAGAGATTGGACAAGAGAAAAGAGAGAGTCTGGTGAAGGTTGGAGGAGTTGTTGTGTTTAGTTTTTCTTGATTGTTTTGGAGGAGTTTTGATTGTGTTTGATTTTTCTTGTGATGGACTTGGAGGATTTTGGATTGTTTTGGTGAAGATATTGGTTTTTGTTTGTTTTGGAGAGATGGTAAAGAGGAATTTGGTTTTTCTCGGAGCATGACGATGCATACGAGTAGGGGGGCTATTAGATATATTGGGGGTACTCGTAGCATAGTATGACGGTTGAGATGTTCGGTACGTACGTACGAAAGTAACAGTGATGAGATGCGGAGGGATAGGAACTTTCTACATATATTCCTTGGTTGCGAGAGGTATTTGGTGGAGATTCAGAGAGATTCGTTGAGTGACAAAGAGTGAAGGCGTGCCCAGATACCGTGAAGGTTTGACAAGCACTGGCACGCCCCCGATGAATACAATACTTTTACAATCCTTTTCGATACGTTTTCCACACGTTTCTACCCATCCACGCTCCGCCATGAGCCACCCGCTTTGAGCTCCAAGCACAAAGAACCGAGCCACCCGAATTATCGATCAGCTGTTCCCCGGATGAGGCAGTCGGGCCCTGGCCACCTCCGCTTGCTTGGCCTTGACGGGTCTCGCCGGCTTGACGCACAGAAGCCATTTGCTCAAGAGCAGAAGTCAACCTTGATGCGCAACCCGCACGTATCTGGACGCGATCGTGTTCGCACTTTACAACTGCTGTGGCGCCCCACCTGTACTGTTCCTGCGTTTGGTTGGCTGTGATTTGATTGGACGAAATTTCTTCGCCAGAATTTTCCAGGAGATCAACCATACAACATGTACTCAATTGTTGTTGTTGTTGTCTTCACATTAAACCGCATGTCAGTTGTTAAATGCCAAAATCTAGCAAAGACTCTCAGCCCGTGGTCACGAAAGTGCTAGAGCCATCTGAGGATCTAAAGAACACGCACACATAGCATATAACGAGAAAAAGGTATCCAAGAGCCCGAAGAGGTACTACTACACCTATATATAATCCCTGCAGCACCGTACGCGTGCCCAAAACTGAACTACACGTCCGTCTCACCGTTCGACTACAGCAACATCACCCCCTACCTGTCCCACTCTGTACCAAAACGAATGATTGCCGACTACAGCATACTTGCTGTCTGAAGTGCTGTCTGTACAAAAACACCATGGTAGGCATGGAACAAGAAGCTGGCGGGGCACAAAGCTGCTGTCTGAAGTGCTGTCAGAATGTGTCTGCGGCCGTACAGTGAAAAAGAACAACCAACCAAAGCCATCATAGCAGCAATTGACAATCACCCGATTCTCTCCCGATCGTCTGTGTTAGGCACTGCAGTGAAAAATATCTAGCTAAGAATCGTTCCAC